ACGTGAGTTTCGGCAGACCGTGTTCGACGCGTTGCACGGCTTGTCTCATCCAGGCGTTCGTGCATCGGTTAAACTCGTAACCGCACGATTCGTTTGGCGCAATGTTAATCGGGACGTCCGGACTTGGGCAGCTGCTTGCCTTCCGTGTCAACGCGCGAAGGTGCACAAGCACACGAGAAGCCCATTAGGCACGTTTCCGACGCCAGACGCACGTTTTCATCACGTGCACGTCGACCTCGTAGGTCCTCTGCCGCCTTCCAAACGCTCCGTATATCTACTGACCTGCATCGATCAATTTACTAGATGGCCTGAGGCCGTCCCCATCCCAAATTGCTCCTCGGAAACGGTAGCGAAAGCTTTTATGGAGCGCTGGGTAGCTCAATACGGCTGTCCCGCCATCGTGACCACTGATCGAGGGTCACATTTCTCGTCGACATTTGCCATGTTGCTTAAGGATTTAGGCTGTCGCCACGTCCAGACGACGGCGTATCATCCGGCCGCTAACGGCATGGTGGAGCGTTTTCACCGCCAGTTGAAGGCAGCGCTACGTGCGCACGCAGATCCTTCATGGTCTGAAACGCTTCCCCTCGTTCTCCTAGGCTTAAGAAACACGGTTAAGACTGACTTCGACGCCACACCAGCGCAGCTAGTCTACGGTTGCACGCTGCGGTTTCCCGGACAGCTGGTAGCACCAGCCCCATGTACTTCCACTTTTGACTACGGAAGTTACACTGATCGATTGGCTCACCAGATGCGTGAGTTACGTCCACCCGCTCCTCGATCGCAGAAGACACCAGTGTACGTGCCCGAGAAGCTGTCTACGTGTTCACACGTCCTTCTTCGCGCAGACGGTGTTCGACAGCCTCTTCAGTCGCCGTACATAGGACCCTTCAAGGTGCTGCATCGTGCGAGTAAGGCGTACACTATTGACCGCGGTGGTCGACACGAAGTCGTCACCATCGACCGTCTGAAACCCGCCTTTATGGAAGAGACTACCTCGCCTACTTCGTCTAGTAGTGCCTCGTGCGACGTCACAACTCACCGTACCAGTTTTCCGCATGCTAATGAAGTCCAACCAGACCACGATCACGGTCTGCAAGCTTCAGCGGTCCCGACATCACCCGAACCTAGTCCGCCGCCTCCCACGACCAATCGCCGTGGTCGGGAGGTACGTAAGCCCGTTCGCTTCTCCGACTATGTACAGTGTAAATACTTTTAACTTTGTAGATATTGTATATATTTGCCCCGTTTTTGGTCGATTAACGTTTTGAAAACAAACAAAAATATCAAAAACCCACGAAAAACCTTTTTCGAAAAAAGAAATATTCAAAAACCAAAAAATATTTAAACACGCAGCTCATTCGTTTGTTCTTTTTGGCGTTTACTGCGCGTGTTTTTCTATTTTCTCGTCTTTCCATGCCCCAACCCTCCCCTTCGATCGCCTGGCCCACACGAGGAATGTTTTCGAGGACCCTGACGCGAACACTGGTCGCTTCTCCGCGGGAGGAGGATCGCTTCTCCGTGAGACGAGGGTCGCCTCTCCGCGGGAGGAGGAACGCTTCGCCGGGAGACGAGGGTCGCTTCTCCGTGGGACCGTGGTCGTTTTCTTCGTGGGACGAGGGTCGCTTTGGCGCGGGGTGGGATGCGACGGGGCGTGAGACCACTCCCAAGCGCACCGTTTGGCAGCAGCGGAGGTTGAGGTCCTGTCGGCCTTTTTCTGGGCTAGCCAGTTTTTTGTAGTCCGACAAGCCCGCTCCAACGGCTCGCCGAAATGCACCCTGCCCTGCATTCAATAAATAACGAATCATAAACGGCACAGCGGACTCCGACTTCTGATGAACCCCCATTTACACGAACGCACGCCCATTTTTACTCTGCACGATTTCGCCTTACGAACCTTGGTTTAACATTCCTTTTCGATTTCGAAGGCTTTCTATGTTCAGCCTTCTAGGGGGGGAGCTCTGTAGCGCCCAAAAAGCTAACTCTTATCTTTCGTGTACAATTTACTTGTTGACCGATTGTACATTACTCCTTCTTGTTTTAATCTTACAACCGGCTCGACACACAACCGCCTTGTAAGTCCCCGCGCTCACGTGTACGCTCTTGCCTCGCTTCATCCGTCCGCTTCTTGTTGTAGCCCATCGAATACAGTCCGCTGTGTCCGACTCCAATTGCCTTCTGATATCCGCGTTTAATTCCGCGCATCGTCTCGGACTAGTATTAACTAGTCCTATACTGTCCAGGACGTGTTTCAGCTAGGTGCGTGAACAGTCCTTTCGGGTCTTAGGCTCTGTAACCTCGTTAATTTATTCTGGCCGGCGACTATGTTTAAGGTAGCATTCACTGACGTTACGCTCTATTTTGCTACTGAGGCGTATTCATCCTCGGAGATAGTTCTGAAGCGTTGGTGCTCACCACGTCCGTATAGTTCCCTGACTTGCTTTTCACCTTAGTTGCATCCATAGTCTTGCGTTAATAGTGTACTCTTTTGAGGAAGAGGAGGAGATTTGGCTTCGATTTCCTGCTGGGTTGCCGGGCCCGACGAGCAACGGTGTTCCTGTCAGAATAGTCGAGGATGCACGGCTTCTTTTCCCTTTGAATGTAGAGTACCCAGGCACTGACAGGTACACAGATATGACAATTGTTTCAAAATAAGCGTTAGACATAGCTTGCGCAGGAGTAGTAGACACGCTGAATGGGCCTAGGCTAGTCAGAAGCTTCTTATGGCTAACCACTAATAAACACGGGCCGCAGTGAAAGCTTATGCCTTTGGAGGAATTGTGCTGAAGACATTGGTATAGATCATGACCGACATTACAGAACCCTACATATTGAAACCTTAGAACCTTGCATTTAATGGGTATAAAGGCTCCAGCTTTACCTGACCAAAAGGGTAAAATATTGTTGGGCTCGGTTCTGATGGAAGCATAATCAGCCTTACAGGGTGGTTGGATTCGCGTGCTAGCCGTATCTTCATCGGTTCTATTTGGCATTTACACAGAATGCACCCGGCTCAAACCGGGACATCTCACCAGGCCCTCCGAAACCGCTATGGAAAGGAATTATGTAGAAGAGAAATATGTAGAGAAACTCCATCGCCTAGTAGGTAGTTATCTCAGGGAATATCGCGGTGTATCTTGGCCAGACGACCATCTAGGCGGGTCTTAAAACCCACCACAGTAGGTAGCAATACTAAATCGGCAGTCAGAGCATTTCACGGTCAGCAGATTCGCAAAGCAAAGTAACTTCGTCTGCCGTTCAGCCGTCGATGCTGATGTGTGAGCCTCAGTGGGTGGCCACGTAGGTAGTAGCACGATGGGTGCAGTGTGAGTAGGTAGCGACAGGGATGACCAGGGTTGGATAAGATCATAAATACCAGGATCAATTTGACCAGGAGACGTCGATACTTAAGCGTAATAGACCCAGTCAGTGAAGTCGTTGTGCATAATCAAGGTGCTTGAGCTCTCGGACCAGTTTTGTTACTAGACGTTGTTAGGCTTCGAGTATACGTTGGTCCTTCAGCAACCAGTGGCTCCAAGCCTGACTAGCAAACTCCAAGTAGGGTCGAAGAGAAGCGTGGAGGAGGAGGTGGAAATTATTAGGGTCAATAAGACCGAAGGCTCGCTTCAACAATCTCACCGTGCGGTCAGCACTAGCAGCTGCTTTCCGGCAAGAAGCGCATAAGGAAAGACTCGCAAGGGTAATGATACCAATATCTTTCGGCTGACCACATCTAAAGAGTAGACGCTCCGAGGCAAGGCCCTTAAGCTTTTCTAGGCGGAAGGGCAGATGGAAAGGAAGCGACATTCCAAGGCATTAAATGCAAGGTTATTTTCTATGGACCAGTGAAGTATACAGTCGAGGTCCGGCTGAAGTGCGTGGGCATCTTCCGGTACTTTTATTGCGTTCCACAGCATCGAGAACTCAGCATGCAGCAGCAGCAGCAGCAGCAGCAGCAGCAGCAGCAGCAGCAGCAGCAGCAGCAGCAGCAGCAGCAGCAGCAGCAGCAGCAGCAGCAGCAGCAGCAGCAGCAGCAGCAGCAGCAGCAGCAGCAGCAGCAGCAGCAGCAGCAGCAGCAGCAGCAGCAACAGCAGCAGCAGCAGCAGCAGCAGCAGCAGCGGCAGCAGCAGCAGCAGCAGCAGCAGCAGCGAAGACTCCACTTGCTGCGTAACGTCATCAAAGAAGGCTAGGGAGAGGTCCGTTCCGAGAAAAGACCCCTTGTAGAACTCCGCTTGTGGCAAGAATGCTGGGGTCAAAGTTCCGTCGTCGCGTCGTTGGACGTCACGGCTTTGGAGGTAGTTTCGGAACTAGAATGTTATGATCGACCTGGTCGCAGGCTTTGGAGAACTCCAAGTATATGGCATGCGCTTCTAGGCCAGAGACGTCAGCATTCGTCCAGATATCCCAGGCAAGTAACAGGTTACTCAAGCACGACTGTTGTCGCAGGAAGCTGTGCTGGCCATCGGAGAGCAGGTTCTGGGCCTCCATGTGCGTCCATCTCTCGCAGAGGGCACACCGGACAGCCTTAAATCGGGAGGTGACAACTTTCCAACGGTCTACACACTTGCATGCCATTTTTCAAAAAAGGTATGACAGCAGTCAAAATATTTCAAAAGTGAGTATTCAGACAATTTTCTTTATGATATATTCACCAAGACTCCAAGTTTAGCACGACAGAAAGTGAAGGTACCGCGAAGTATTACGGCAGAGCATATTTATGTTTACATAACGGCACTGCAGCACCTTTATCTGGTATTGTTATTATCGATGTAACTATGTACTGGATTTTGTTGGTTTAAAATTAACGAACTTATATTTAAAAGGTCAAACTGGAAATTTTGAAGCACGTTTTGCTCCGTGCAACTGATCGTGTGCTAGAGATATCTTGTTTAATGAACCGCGTTTATCCTGTTAGCTACATAACCAACTAGGTTACATTTTACTGTATAGATAAAGTTGTTATGATTTTAGCTGCTTCTTTCCAATCATGTTAGAAACAAATGTTAACCCCCTGTACGAAAATGCCTGGTGGTCATTCCTTATTAAGTAATCTCTTACCTTTATAACGCAAGTTTATGTGGTTATTATATTTAATTTGAAATCAACGTCATTTTGTATAACAAATTGCCGTGCTTTGCATAAAGCTACTTTAACCATTTGGTGAATATTTATGCATATGTGATAGCAGTTTTGGGTTTATACTGTTATGTGATATATATATATTCCTTTATAATTAGTTAGTTACTATACTCTGTTCGTGGTTTATCGCGTGCAGTTCTTTAAGGCATTCTTTCAGCTTGGAATATTATATTTCGCTCATTTTCATATATTCTTTGCTATTCACAGCATACCTCGAATCATTGCGTTATCGTGCTAGGTCCGAACTTGACATAGTGGTAAGGTTTTCGTTGTCCGCTGAATATACCTCCATTGATTCTTCCTCTTTTTTCCTTTAGGTTTGGTTTACCGTGCTCTCTGATTAAGTGTTTGTGATGTGAAGATGCAGCTACCTACGCGGTATTTGGTTTCCAATGCAGCCCCCGTGTCTATTATAGCGCGATGATCGTACTGTAGGACTAGTTAATACTAGTCCGAGACGGTGCGCGAAAGTAAGCGCGGATATCAGAAGGCAATGGGAGTCGGACACAGCGGACTGTATTCGATAGGCTACAATAATAAGCGGACGGATGAAGCGAGGCGAGAGTGTACACGTGAGCGCGGGAACTTACAAGGCTGTTGTGTCGAACCGGTTGTAAGGACGATTAAAACAAAAGGAATAATGTACATTCGGTCAACAAGTAAATTGTACATGAAAGATAAGGACTATCTTTTTGGGCCCTACAGTACGCTATATAACGGGTACGAGACTAGACGGCTAACCAAAAGCATTGGGTAGACCACACAAAAGTTAGGCTAGAGAAAATGTTTATTGATCGAGAGAAGAGCTAGCTAATGCTAAAATAGGGCACCACTTCCCGATCGTTGCTGAGATAGCCTGAGTCATTGCGGAACAATGTCCCATAGAGAACCACTGAAGCTGCATTGGAAACAGCTGAATCCCAGTAAACTAAAATGAAGATACGACAAATGTTTGAAAATTTCCTCGGTATCGGCATCGACGATGGACTCCGGAAGGCGGTTCCAGTCATTCACAACGCGAGAGGATAAAGCCAGGCTGGATCTCACTAGATGACTCTTCGGTTTGAACAGTTTTAAACTGTGGCCTCTTGTCGGACTCTGTGTTGAGATGAAAGAATTCCTGTAATATTTCCCCTACTATCCTCTAAGAATACGTCGGGTGAAGATCAGTTTTTCGCGTTGACGACGGTAATCCAGGGAAAAAGGTCAAGTTGTTTGATTCGGAGAGAATAGGACAGTTCCCGCTGCTCAGGAACAGGTTTGGATCCACGCCTTTGAACCTTCTCAGTCATATCACATTCGAATTTTGTAAGAGGGTAGGCTGCAGGTGGCCCGTATTAGGAGAAGCGGGCGTACATGTGAAGTAAACAGGAGTCGGAAGAGCCCCGGGGTCAGGCGAGAGGCTGTACGTATAGAGTGAAACATCCTGAAGGCCGCAGCGACCTTTCTCTTGGTATCTTCATTAGGTTTGAGGTCAGGCGAAAGTATTACCCCCAGATCCCTCTCCTCAGTGGCGTTTCTGAGCAAGGAACCACCAATATGGGTCAGATACACCAACTGGAGGAACGAACATTTTTCACTATTCATTGGCAGCTGCCACTTAATTGACCATTCATGTAGCAGGTCGAGTGCCGATTGTAACCTGTCAATATCTTCCATACTGGATACCTCCATTCACATTTTCAGGTCGTCGGCGTAGATTAAGTAATCCACCTGGAGTGTGGACGGTAAGTCGTTGATGATGACGACGAAAAGCACGGGGCCGAGGACAGAACCCTGTGGGACTCCACTAGTCATGAGAACAGGGGCGGAAAATGTTTCGTTTACTTGCACCTGCATCGTGCGGTCGCGGAGGAAATCAAAGATCCAAGGGTGACGATTCCCGACGATACCGATTCCTCGGAGTTTAAGTAAAAGTCGTTCATGCAGGACCCTGTCGAAAGCTTTGCTGTAATCAACAAACACAACATCCAGACGTTTACCGGAACCTAGCGAATTCGCCCATTTCTTAGCAACTAGTAAGTTTGAGGTACATGAGCGTGCCCTTCGAAAGGCATGCTGTTTACAAGAGAAGACTTTCAGTTCCTCGAGTTAGAGATGAAGAGCTCGCTTCAAGATCCGCTCCATAACTTTACACAATATCGACCTTAAGTAGATAGGACAATAGCTGGCTGTATCCTGCCTGTTCCCTTCTTTGTATATGGGTTTGACGTGCCCCATGCTGAGGCTGATGTTGCATACATGATTCTTCTTCACCGCAGTTGGGCTAAACCAACTTACACTTAAACTAGGTCTTTTTAATGTGGATAAACTTCATTACATGTTATTTGGTTTGTTTTGCGTACTTGATAATCTTCTTACTTTCACACGTCGCTCACGCAAATTGTGGTAAACTTGCGTAATTTTATCGCGTGGGATTTTTTAAATAACTTTCGGACATTTTGTACTTATCACGGATTCACTTATAACCGATTTTTTCTATATGCTCATTTAGCGAGTATTTCTCATCATATGCGTTTACTTTAATCGATATCGGCATTTCGAATGGTTGGCTGTTGTTCGACCTCTCATGTGTGGTTGCGCTTGATATGCATGTTGACAAGGTGTCTACCTGTCTATTACCCCTACCTCGTCCATACTGGCTCCAGGAGACAGTTGGTCGTTGCTGGAGGGGACGGGGTGCACCGTCCTTGTGGTCGTGCTAGGCTCGAAGAGTGGTTCCATGCACTCAGTGTGGAGCGGACTACGGTCCAGCCACCGCCTTGTGTGCACTTTATTCCCCAAATACAGCGTGCTTGTGTTTACCTGTGAAGGTGTGTGGGCCGGCTCCGTTGATGAAACGTGGCTTTCATCCACATGCCTCCCGGTCTTATTCCTTCGGGTTTACACTAGAAATAGGGTGTATGGATGGAGCTATGGGTAATGCAGCGCAAGCCACCCATGGTCCTTCTGTAGGCGCAGGCGTCCTGTGGCTGACCACAGTGACAAATCCGAAACCGGTTGCCGCCAACCAGATGGGTTTGACAGTGCCTGCTTTA